TGCTAATCGATTATTCTCAAAGCGTAATATTTTTTCCATTCATTTTGAACGAACCGTTAAATGGACTATTTCAGTCGTCCTTAACTGTCTTGCGATTATTCCTTCAGAACACGTCGCAATGGCTGATAATTTTATAAAATGATATTCTCTTCGCACGCCTACAATATCAAACATGGGAAAAGTCAATACTTCTCAATACCAACGACAAATAAATCGCGATATGTGTCCAAGTTCCTGTGACAAACAAATAGGAACGGTTACTTAATGTAAATTTACATAGTACATTATTGTTGTTTGCTATCAAGCCGAGTGTCTTTTATTGTTTTATGATAAGATAATTGTTATTTAAATATATCTATTGAGAAGGGTTTAGTTACGCCATTAGCCACTATAAAATATGTGTCATTTCCTATGTTTAATGCAAAACTTAATAAAACACAGATAAATACATCATTTTGAAATGATATCATTACCTAGTTGAAAACGAATTGAGTATATTTTGTGATTATTAAAAACAGTTGAATCCTAACACATAAAAACTTGTCTTTCCATATTTAGGCAGTTAGCAAAAAATCGGGTTAGTAAGCTGAAAGTACTTTCATCTTTTAATGCTAAATTATGTACACCAATATTCCTTTAGTTGAAAGTAAACGACTAATTATAACTAATTTTAATTACTACGAGGCGATAGTTCTTAGATTATTGGATATACTAAGATTGGAGTTAAATTTAAGATTTGTGAATATAAAGTAAAACGTTAATAAAAATATTATTATAATATTTACGGAGATGATTGACAAGTTAAGGTTACAGACAAAAAACATAAAGAAAAAAAAAATTTAGATTAAATTGTAATTGAAATTATGTCAAAATTAATATCTTATAAATAAATCTTTATAACCTAATAAAATTATAAGAAACCCGTTGCATTTTAGCTTCGATGCGAAGCTGAGAAAATATTAATTTTACCAAGATGTGTTTTTTTTCTTTGTGTGTGTCTGTTACCACTTTTTCTCAGCTCTCACAGAACAGATTTCTTTCAACGATACGTCAAAAGATCACAAATCATATCTAGTTGAAGACATTACCCAAAAAATTAAAAAATTTCCCACGTTTTCCGTAAATGGGGTAAATCTCCAAAAATATTACAATTTTAAAAATCCGTATTTTTTGTGTTAAAAAAAACTTATATGAGTATCTATTTATTATTAATGTACTAAATGTATCATCGGGGTAACTAAGATAAACTTATGAAAAATCTTATAAAATGTATAAAGTTTATTTTATGCATTTATGTAATAGATGCATAAAATAGTCGAAAACCTTAGTTAGAATACTTTATTTACAAACGTCTATTTCGCACTTATTTATATTCAAATAATTATTCTATTTAAATAATACATCTATTTCCTTCGTTTTTATATCACCCTAAAGTGAAATTCGTTGAAAAACTAAACATAACAATATAAACTACCAGTACTTTGTATTTCTTATTACATTACATGTTTTTCCAATAATAATCTAGCAAATATCTACTTTGATAGAGAAAATTATAATGATTGCAAAAATCAAGAGACCGGATAGACAAACGGTTTTCTCTGGTTCAGAGCACTTAAGTACAAACGTATTTACGGAACCATAACCATTTACTATTTATTGCTATTGTTAACAGCTATTTCATGAATAAAAACAGCAACGGTTCCACCATTAAAGTATATTTTTTATATTTCAATCGACTTTATTATATTATACGAACAGTAATCGGTTACTAAATATTAGTTTTTAATAATGCACTCATCCGACCTAAATACAAGAATTAATCTTTATTAATCTTTATTAAAACGATGTTTCAAACATAATCATTTTATGAAATTGTTTTAGATAAAGATTATATATAAAACATTTAAAATAAAAAAAATAATTCTTTCAATTGTTAATAATTTTCGCCCATAAAATATAGATTAATTAATTATCCCATTTTTCAATGGATTAAAAAATAGTAGCATAACCAAAATTGTTCATTGTGAAGAGAAAATCTGACTAAAATGAAATTTTACCGGATTTGAAAGAGCTACATAGTGTCACTTTGTAATATTCCAGATATTTGCACCACTACCAATAAAGTAAGGATGAAATAACCCTTTTAGTCCTACTTGGATATTTCACTGACAATAATTGCACAATTAAAACCCTAAAACGTTGTTTACAAGTACAAGTTCTTCTTTTAACATAAGCCATTCAATTTTTCTTAAAATAAAGATTTTTTTGTGAATTTAATTTTTGCTTTTGGTTATTGTTAGTTTCATATATATCTTAATTTATCAATCATAAAGAAAAAATTATATTCAACCCTTATAACTTATAAGGGTGTCAGCTTTATTTTTTTAATTAGAATTATACATATTTAACTAGCTTATAAAATAGAAAATGATCTAATTAAGAATTTTTCTTATTAACTAATAAAATATGTATGATGCCATTTATAAAATAAATCTAATACCTTTATAAGATATAAGGGTTGAACAAATTTTTTTTTATGATTAATAAATGGAGATACACGTAAAACTTACAAAAAAAATCAAATTCGCAAAAAATTATTATTTTAAGAGAAAATGAGTGGCTAGTGTTAATAAATTTATTTTATTGTAAAACATTAAATGTAGTATAAATATTTATGAGTACGTAAATGTAACAAAACGGTACTTTTGTCGTGTTTTGTCGGTCAAATTCAGCTATACGTTAAAACTGAACAGAATAGTAAGTTATAAAATAAAAACAATACACCATAGCTTAAATTTAAAACAATGTTTGATACATCGCACGACATACTGCACTTTAAATGACTCAATAGTAGTATTTAGAAATTATGGATTCGATTGATGTGTAGAACTTGTCTTTTATTTTTTACAAAGCTATTGTTTAAACGCTGTTGAACATATTATTATGAGAACGTTTTAATTTTTTGGCTTAACAATATGCCTATGAATTTATTAGTAACCGTTCAAAGTTTTAGTCCATATTTTACTAATGCATATTGCATTACAATGCATAGTACGTACACTTATTTTTAATTACCTATACGTTTTCAAAAGAGCCGTTACTTTACAGTGACATACTCATACAAAATACACATCTATTGTTATTTTACTTTTTGTGTATATGATTTGATTTCAAAGAATTAATTGTAAAATTCTCATAAAGTAACACATTGAATAAAAAACTCACAAAAATTAACTGTGAAAAATCTTAAGAATAATTCAATACAATAATTAATTTATTGCTTACTAAAATTTTAAATAACTAGAGTTTTCTACAATTAAACAAATAATTGAAACTTTACTAAATATTAATTTTACTAGTCTATCGATTTGTGAGATATCAGTTATGGTAAAATCTTTATATATTTTTGAGTCCCTTAAAATATTTATGGTTAAAAAAGAAAAATGATGTCCTTGTTTCTATTTTTTTCTAGGTTACTTTTAGTTATGTTATAATATCATCTAAAATAATAAGTAGTTAATGAGTAGAATTTTACAAAATATTATATTAAGGAAAATAAAAAACATGTAATACATGGATATTTATTTTTTACAGATTATAGGCATCATTTGTTTAGCGTTGGCCTCGCCAGCTAGACTACCAGGTACGAATTGGTTTTTATTTGTGGTTATTATTAGCTTCATAGCCACTGCAATTTGGTCTTTCATTTACCTTTTGTCTATCAGAGAAGCCATAAATTTTCCGATCAATTGGATTCTTACAGTAAGTATTTATATATTATCCGCATTAAAGTTACTTTTTTAACATTAAACTTGACATTCTAGGAATTTTTCAACACTCTTCTTCTGGCAGTTTTATATATGGTTGCGTTTATTGTACAAATTTCAGCGTGGTCGAGTAATAATAGAACATACAACTCTTATTACAAGAACCTTAACATATTTGCAGGGGTAAATTTACGAATTATTAATTTTTCACTATACAAGTAAAACAGTACATTTTACTACAGATAAAAACGCCATTTTTTTTATCTCGAGAAGGTATTATTTTTACTGCAATTTTTTTTTTTTATCTGTGGCCACTTTTCTTAGTTCATGTCAGACCGATTTTTTCAATGATACGTCAAAATATCACAAATTATAACTAGTTCCATATTGCCCTTAAAAATTGAAAAAAATCCACTATGTAACTTTTTTTTCTTAAAAATCCCATAACTTTTTTTAAAAATAAACGAATTTATTTTTAATTTTCAATTAAAAATTTTAATTTTTGTATTCGAATGAGCGTTATTGAACGTGTATTGATTATTTTATTATTTTGTGTGTGTGTATGTGTATGTTACCATTATATTNTTGTGTGTGTGTATGTGTATGTTAACATTATATTTGGAATACAATTATTTATAAACGTTATAATGACTTATTTTGCTCTTCTTTTATTAAATTTCATTATTATGTGTTGTGTGCGTCCAGAATTAAAATCGTATTGCTGGTTCTTCAAACAATGCCAATAGTTAGTAAAAAGTAACAAAAAAAAAACCAAAATTTATTTAATATAATTGATATTAAATAATAGTGTGAAATTGTCACACTAAATTTAAATACTTTAAGTATGTAATAAGTATTTATTCATGTATTATACTTATAATAAGGATATAAATAAATGAATGTTGCTTTTAGAATAATTCAATAAATCATTCTTAAAATTAAATACTTTATACAGATTGCATCGAAACGTTTTTTTATGATAGCGATTTTAATCACTATCAGATATCATCTTTAATTGTCCTAACAATGATATGTCCCAACTGTGCTGAGTTTTTTTAAAATCAATATTTATGTATTTATTTATTTATTTTGAATAACGAACAGATCAAATTTTACAAAAAAATAAAACACCATATGAAAAATAATGATATCACATCGCATTATCAATTCATGCTAAATTTCTTAAACAAAAATTTTTTTAACTTCGAGTCCTTTATTTTATAATATTAGAACGTGTGATCTATATAACTATTGGCTACATGTTAATGAACATAAATATCAGTATATATTTCATAAATAGTTATCTTTAATGATTGATTATAGATCTTTGGCTTGATTAATGTCGTTGTGTATGCAGCTGGAGTTTACTTAATATTTAATGATTGGAAAAAATCAAGAACTACAAGTCAATAATAAATGAATCCACTTTAAGACTAATGCATTATTCAATAGATTAATTATTTTTTCCAACTATTATAATCCTACCAATACACATAAATGGAAAAATATTGGTAAAATTAAAATATTATTTTGCTTGTCAAACAAATTTACATATAAGTATTCCAAAGTTCCTTTTTTAAATTAAAATTTATTTAGTATAAAATGTATTATAAAGAATTAACATCAAAACAAATGTACTCCAAATACAAAAAATGTATGAAATTTATTTAGTAAATAGATATACGCACATTATTTCTATTATATTTTTGTATAAAACTGTTATGAATTTTTATATTATTTTAAGAATAATCTGTCGCTAAAACTAAACATTTTGTAAAAAAATGTTCATAATTTATTTTTAATTGTATTGTTTTATGTTTATCACGGGTACTAAATTTATTTAGTTACAACATTTTATAAATGCGTGACTTAAGTGTTGCAATTACAAAAATTATTTAATTTAATTTATGTGTTACATACATTTTTTTAAAATTATTTTAGAAAGAATTCGGTATCCTGACCGACATACATATTTATATTTGTTTATTTTATCGTTATGTCGTACAGGACCAAAAAAAAAATCAGGATATATTATAAGCTCATTTTGATATGTTATTGAAATAAAATTGTTCGTAGAACCAATAATGATAGATTTTTAATTTATTTAAATTGTATATACGTACTATTGACTATCGAATCATTCGGACTTATTAAATCTGTTTGTTAATAAAATATTTATATTTTTACTTAAGAACTAATGTGGTATTTTATTTTTATAACAGAACAAAATATTCTGAAAAAAGATATTTTTAATTGTTTTAATTAAATACATTTATCAGATATTTAAAATAATTTTTTTCAAATAGTTGTAAATTTTGCACTTCTCTATTAATTATATATTTTTAATTAATTTTGCAATGCTTTAACGCCGTAAAACAAACTAATGAAAACACAAATATATTTAAAATCCGAAAAAAATGTATGACCTTATTATTGTGCTTTTATCAGTTTTAATCAGTATTATAAAATATATTTAAGGTTTTTTTAATCATTTTTATGTACAGTATAACAATTATAAGCATACACAATCTGACAAAATCGATACTTTATATTTAGAATTGGACATGCTATGACATGCTTTTCCGATAGTAGACAAATCCCCACCCTGCCATTTCCCTAATGATGCCATAAAAATTAAAAATAATATCAACTTCAGTAATTAAGTGTTTAAATACCGAGACCACAATTCTATTTTTATTTTAATATTTTTCCTAATGATAATTTTGGGAAATATATTTTATATAGAGATTTCTTCACAAGTTTTATAATTTATGGCAA